CATAAGACATAAATTTTTTTAATGTGATTTGGTCCTTCACGGTATCAAATGCTTTGGACAAGTCAATAAAAACCCCTAAAGTAAAACGAAAGTCTTTGAATCAATCTGCAATGTTGCGCGTAAGTTGAAGAACGGCATGTTCGGTTGAATTATTTTTATAAAGCCAAATTGGTTTTCATGCAGTATTTTATTTTTAATAAGATAAGAGTAGACTCGATTAAACTTTATTTTTTCTAATATTTTTGAAAAAACTGGAAAAACCGACATAGGGCGATAATTTGTTATATTTGTACGATCGCTGGTCTCGAAGATTGGAGTTAATATTGCTATTTTCAGTTTATCTGAAAAGGACCCTTGTGTGATGGGCACTCTGAAGATTTTATAAAGAATATTTTTTATAATATCATAGAAGTCTATTACAATATTTGCGTTAATTTCATCGTATCCAGTTGCTTTATTTCGTTTTAATGACTTGAAAGCAACTTCAAATTCATCAAAACTCAGTATTATTTAAAGTTTAACAGAGTTTCATATTCATCAATAGCTTTTTCATTATTGTATGAAATATTATTGAATAATTTTGTTCCGATTGTTGTAAAAAACTTGTTTATTCTAATGCAATTTTGTTTGGATCATTAAATAATTTGTTTTCAATTTTTATTATATCTGGTAGTGAATTTGTACTTGTTTTATGTTTTCCAGTCATCTCTAAAATGACTTGCCAGACCCTTTTTGAGTTATGTTTGTATTTATTTAGCAAGTTTGAGTAATAGTTTTTCTTTCAATTTTTACAAATCTTTTCAAATTTTAATTTTTTATAAACTTTATAAATTTGAGCGACTTGTTAAAAAAGTCGTTGGTAAGGATGTTGTCAATTAATGATAATGAATGGTTTGTGATTCTGGTCGGTCGATTAGTTAATGGTGTTTTTGCAGTTTCAAATAGATCTTTAAAACAGTTTCTAGTATTTTGATTTTCATAATAGTTGAAAGAGTTTATGTTAAAATCTCCTATCAAGTAATGTTTTTGCTTTTCAATGAAAAGCAAAAAATTGATATTGAAAAGTTTTCAATATCAATTTTTTAGTATAAAATTATAAAGGTTTTGGTTCTTCCAGCAGGTGGTCTTAGCAACAGCTTATGAGGATACTTTTTGATCGCTTATTGATAAATTGACTGAAGTTTTCTGTTCTTTGACTTTTGACATCAATTGAAAATCAACTTTGAATGTGATAGGTTGTGTTATTAATACCTGTATGACCAGATAAAGCTTTAGACTCAACAGAGACATCGTTTCCTTCATGAGCAAACTTTATTATGTTTTGTTGTTCATCTCTACTCCAAAAAACTTTTCTCTAAAAAAATAGAAGCTGTAAACCATCAATATAATGAGAATCAAGACTAAATTAATTTTCATTATTTATTAAATAAATTATTTGTAAATATTCGTGTTTATTTGGTGACTAGATTCTAGTTGTAAAATGACAAAACTATTAAAACATTTTGAAATAATAGCATACCTTTGCAGCTTTATTTAAATGATATAACTCATTATTATCAACTATAAATGGCTTAGTTTGTCTTCTAAAATTGGCTTTATCGCCTTTATTTAAAACTTCTTTTGGATATATTTTGCATTTTAAGTAACTAAAAATATCTACAAATCTTGAGTGCATGTCTTATCGATATGCAATTCCGCTAATAACAACTTGATATGCAATTCCGCTAATAACAACTTGATATGCAACTCCGCTAATAACAACTTGATATGCAATTCCGCTAATAACAACTTGATATGCAATTCCGCTAATAACAACTTGATATGCAATTCCGCTAATAACAACTTGATATGCAATTCCGCTAATAACAACTTGGAAGTAAAAATAAAATAGTGAGAGTAAAAATCTCATATGCTTTTTTCACTCCGCGGTTAAAACTTCATACGATATTTTTACTGCGGAGCAGTGGTGTACGACTCGCAAGTTTTCTTGTAATTTAGCGAACGGGGATTCTGGGATGTCTAGTACAGCCAGATTTATAAACAATAACATTAACTTTAAGACATTTTGAAGAGTTCGTAAAGAATAATGCTTTTGTAATGATGGTTATCTTATTTTAAATCTTATTTAAAAAAAAAATGCTTTAATAAAATATAGTAGTAATATTTGTTTACTTAATAAATCAAATGGATTTTTGTAAAAACGATGAAATTTATAGGTATAAAAATCGCTTTTTATGGCATTTTTAATGTTTGTATTTTTGTTATGCTTTGAATCAAAAAAATATTATTCAGTGTTATTTTTATTGTTCAAAATATATGAAAAATACAAACACTAAATGCTATTTTTATACTTATATATTCCAAATGTTTTCAAAATGTTACATTGTTATACTGTTTACAAACAATGTTACATTTTTTAACAAAGTAAACTTATTACTAATAGGTTTACTAATAGTATTAGTTATATGAACATATTTTTTTTTAGCATATGTACGTTTCAATTCTTAACTACCCTCTGCAGTATGCTAGAAGGTTTATAATATAACTGTATGGTAGACAGCAATCAAGGTTTTATTTAAACATAAAAACATTTTATGACAACACTAAGATGAGGCTGTATTCAACTTGTATCTAAATGTTTCAATATTTAAAGATTTTATTCAGCCTAAAAATATACAACTGCTGTATGAATTGTTTATTGAGCTCTGTTAGTATAAAACAACTCAAACGTTGCTTCTAGTATTAATATGCTTTCGATATTATTTTCTATATTTTTATAAATGTATTTTAATTTCCTCATCTTAAATATAAAATAAAAGTTGTTAAGTACATCTAAAACTTGTAATTTCAATTTATCACATAAATAAATGAACATTTTTTAACTAAACATAATATTTTACTATTTTTCAATAATACAAGCAATTTTTATTACATGGGTCTATCTCACAATAAAAAAGGTTAAAATAACAATAAATTGGTATATAAACAAAGTAGTATATCAAATATTATGCATGTTTTAATTAAAGAATATATAGGAAAGTATAATTGCAGTCTTCCTTAAAACCTGTAACGATTCCTGCTATTTTTGCTATATATATATATATATATATATATATATATATATATATATATATATATATATATATATATATATATATATATCTGTGTGTGTGTGTGTGTGTGTGTGTGTGTGTGTGTGTGTGTGTGTGTGTGTGTGTGTGTGTGTGTGTGTGCATTATATATTTATATAAATTTTTAAATATATATAAAAATAGTTTAGTAATTATAGATAGTCAAATAGATTAATTTGGCTAAATAAGTTTTTAATTATACATATATATATATATATATATATATATATATATATATATATATATATATATATATATATATATATATATATATATATATATATATATATAATATATATATATATAATATATCTATATAATATATCTATATAATATATCTATATAATATCCGGATCTTGTGCAATTACTAATTTTGAGCATAAACAAGAAAATTATATATATGTATATATAGGTATGTGGACTGATTTTTTTAAATTATTCAAATACTAAAATGTTATATATAATTAGAAAGCCCTCAAATGCAGTATTTCAAAATTACGAAAATCGGACAATTTTTAGTAGCAAATTTTCGATATATGGATTTCTTGATAAAACTGTTTTTAGTAGCAAATTTTCGATATATGGATTTCTTGATAAAACTGTGGTCAAAAACATTTTTTTTTTTTACATAAATTGTTATAACATTGAAAATTCTTATTCAAAAATTTATAACTTGGTATCAAAAGATAGGTGTAAAAATGGTCTTTAATTTAAAATTTATTTCTAGGTAAATGGCGCATCAAGGGATCCGGAGGGGGTGCTAATTCACCACCAACACCGCACAAAAAAACACTTTTTCTACATAAAATAGAGGTTTTTTTTATGAAATTGATAATATTTATGTATAACATGTTGGTATTATTTTATTCTACATCACTAGCGAGTATTACAGGTCTATCTTAAAGTTGGGTGTTAGGTTGTGGGTAAGGTTTAATACACCCTATCAAAATTTCATTCTTTTAAATATTTTAATATTTACTAAAATGATTAAATTATAAAAAAAGAAATATAATATCTCAATACTATGAAAAATAGTAACTAGTGGTGTATAAAAATTGCCTTTTTTGAAGTGGGGCGTATGCCGCCCCCTGTCGCCCTAAACATGAAAAAAAAAATTTAATGACAATTTCACAAAAAATGTTAAAATGCTTTCTTAAACAGAGATTGTAAAACTAATATATAATAAATTGGTAATAATTGATAATACAACATAAAAATATATATTTTTTTAAAAAAATACACTAACAAAATATCATACATACCTAATACAATCAAGTAATTGTTCAACTATGGTCCAACTAATATTTAAATCTGAATAATGCAAATCAATTTTTTAGGAACTGTAAATAAAAGCCTAATTATTTAAAGATAAAATAATTTTTACAAAAGTCAAATAAACATTTTAAATCAACTAAAATAAGAAAACTAAAAAAGTATGCAAAAGACTCTACACATTTAATAACACTTAACATTTAAAATGGTACTCATACATTTTAAAACTTGCATTTATTATAGGCTATAAAATTCTCATGACACTTTATTTGCATTTGAAAGTGGTAATTATCTATGGGTACCACTTTTAAATTTGTTTTATCACATACAACATTAAAAACATGCAAAATATTTATTGCAACTACTACACTTATTAATTCTTAAAATTCTTTTTTTTAATTATTTTGGCAAAAAATTTAGATGAAAATAAAAAAATGCCAAAAATAATTTAATTTAAAAATTGTTACAATAAAGAAAACAAGTTATTTTTCTTTAAAAATATACAAACTAATATTGAATATTTTAAAGAAAAATAAAGGAATAGTGGAACCATGTTAACTTTTTAATTGTTTATATTGAAGTTAACATAATGGCTGCCTCCGTTCCTTCTTTGTCAACCTCTTCTGGCGCAACCACTTCCTGTACCTCTTCTGCTGTTGTCCCCAGCACGCCTTTTTGGGGGATAATTGGGCCATCTAAAAAGGGGGTCATCTTTGCCCCCAAACTGGACCCAACGCAAATATGACTTGTTGCTGGTGGGTCCAGGATGCTGGGTCCTGTAAATTTTGTAGGCTTCATATGTAAGCTCTATAAAATAAATAATAATTATATTAGTAACAAATGGCATTATGTAACACTTAATACAAATCTAAATATATAAAATTAGTGACTAATAAATCACTTATAGGTAAACAAATTTTTAATAAGAGTAAAAATTTAAATTAAAAAAAATTAAAAATTAAAACTTTCTTTTTATGAGAACTCAAATGAGAACACAATATAAATGTATTAAACAGTGTATATTAAAAGGAATAATAAAAATTTGATAACCATTCAGATACATTTTTAACACATAAATTTACCAGCAGAAGGTTGAGCAGGTGAAACTAAAGGTAGAAAAAGTTGTTATTTAAAGATATTTCAATTGCTGAGAAATGCGCACACATTAAAAAGTAATAGTTTTTAGACATACCAGTTGTTGCAGATGAACATGAAACTAAGGTTAAAAAGTTGTAATAAGAAAAATTGCAATTAATGAAAAATGCATACACAAGTATTAGTAAGAAGTTAATATTTTTAAAATTTACCAATCTTAGAAGATGTACACGATCCTAAGGTTAAAAAGTTGTAATAAAAAATTAATATAGCAAATGATGAATAATGTATAAACATATTAACAAGTAATATTATTTAGACATACCACTTGATGCAGACGACGATAAAACTAAGGTAAAAAAGTTGCAATAAATAACAAATAATGCAATTGATGAGGATTTTCCATTGTACCAGATGAGGATGTTCCTCAGTTTAAAAAGTTTTAATAGAAAATAAATATTGCAATCGTTGAGAAATGCATACACATATTGCACAGTAATAGTTTTTAAACTTACCACTTGTTGCAGTTAGAGTTGGAGCTAAGGTTAAAAGATTGTTATAAAAAATAAATATTGCATTGACATTAAATATATTCACAGAATAAAAATTACTGTTTTTCAAAATTGATAACTATAGCAAGTTATAAAAGGAGAGATGATTAAACAAAATATGAGTTAAACCTTGACAAACATGTTTAAACTGTTATTACTATGATTCCTAACAAAAGTTATAATCTTCAAACTTACAAATGGTAGACCTTGTTGATTCAACTAAAGAAAACAAAAAAATTGTACAATAAAAAATAACAATAAAAATTAAATTATAAAGATTCTATGAGTATAAACAAGAAGCTAAAATTAAGAATGGGTATATACTTATGTAAACAATAAGCATATATAAATTAGTATACATCAAAAAAAAGGTATTAGACAATAATAATTATATCTTATATTTATAAAAACTTTAGAAACATTGAGGTAATGCAAAAAGATTATGGGAACTATACTTATAAAATCTCAAGAAATCTATAATAATAGTGCTAAGATCTAAACAAGAAGCAAATATAAGACATGCTTGTATGATTTAAATAATTTTTAAAGGATGAAATAGTAATACTACTTCATACAATACTACTAGTATACAACAGGAAAATGATAAAAGAAGATAAGTGTAATTTTTATATCATTTTAAAACTAAACACTAAAAAATATGCTTGTTAAGAATAAATCAATATAAATTTGATTTGTAGACTTCTATTGAAATTAAAAAAAAAGTAGCAAATTATACAAATCATAAAATAATGTATTCTTAACAGAGTATTTGTTAATACACAAGTAAGTATTTTTAATACTTATTTGTGTATTAACAAACTTTAATATTTATATGGTGTTTTAATGAATCTTTGAAATAATACTTTTATCTATTAATAAAATCAGAACAGTTTTAATCTAATACATTAATCTTAATACATTAAACTTAAGATTATCTTACCAAGATAAACAAAAAGAGTAAGGTTTTTAACATTTATGTTATTGTTTTAAAAATAGTTATCAATAATATAATTATGAAAAAAAAATTTGCTTACTATCTGTTAAGGAATCTATGTACTTGTGCAACTCATTTTTTTCCATTTTATACTGTTACATAATATTAAAAATAAAAATAATGCAGAAAAAAAATTTTTTTTTATAAGAACTGGCCTCTCTATCCGCCCCCATATTAATATAGTGTTCGCTGTTACCAAAAAAAATCATAAAAACAGAAATTAGGTATCAAAAGTGCTGCACTTAGTTAAATATCTGCTCCCTTTTTTTTTTGGCTAAAATTTTGCAGGTAAAAAGAAAATACATGTAGAAAGTAGAATAAATAAAAAAAAAGCGGGCTCAACATTTTTTAGATACGAAATTAATGTGAGAACATCGACTAAATTTTCATGGAAAATTTTCAGCAAAAAAAATCATAAAAAAGTTAGGCAACCATACTTAAAAATAATATAATAATCAAGCTTCACCTTTCTTCTTTCAAAAAATATCCTATGTTTATATGTGTTTCTAAAAAGAAATACCTCAAAAAAACGTTTGCCTAAGGCTACCTAAAAAAAGTGGTATTTATAGAATAACACATAGTAAACTATCTGCTCCCTTTTTTTTGGTTGAAAATTGGCATATGCTTAGAAAATGCATGTAGAAAGATAAATAAATAATAAAAAAAGCGGGCTCAACATTTCTTCTACTATAAATTAATATGAAAACATATACTAAACTTTTAGGACGATAACAAACCGTGAAAAATTAGTAATTATACATTAAAAGCCACATAAAAATCAAGATTAACCCTTTTTCTTTCAGAAAAATATCTGTTTATATATGTTTCTAAAAAGAAACACCACAAAAAAACGTTTGTCTGACGCTATCTAAAAAAAAGTGAAAAAAACGTGGAACAAAATTTTAGCACAAAAATCGGCTCCGTAAAACGCGATTTCGACGTACCTAGTATATATATATCATAATATGATATATATCTTCGACCATATAAACTGGTCGAATATGGTCGAAGATATATATATACATATATATAATTTTTTTGTTTATGCTCAAAATTAGTAACTGCACAAGATCCGGCAGACATTGATCAGTATTCTGTACTATATTTAAACAATTTAAAGAAAGTAAAAAGAAAAGCAAATTAAAATTGATTGAATCATGCAATAACAAAGTAAAAATAGTAATTTTTATTACTATTTTGTTGTTTATGCTTACAATCTGGCTGTACTACACATCCCAGAAGCCTTTGCGCTAGCAATTACATGAATTTAATGCAAATATTGCCGAGTTGCATCCCACTGCTGGGGAGTAATTAAATTACGAGAGTAAAAATCTCATACTACACCGGCGAATATTCGTTAAAATTCGGATTACGAAGTTTTCTAAAAGGGGAAGTTGACTTCGGCTTCGACTTCGGTGCCAAAATTAAAATATAAATTCGGCTTTCAGTTGAATTCGGTAACAATTTCAAAATTTCATTTAACTTTCAGTTAAATTCAAAAGCAATAAAATTTTTTTCAATTTAAAAAAAAGATTTATAAAATATATTATATGTTTTATATTTCTATTGGTTACAACACTCTTTCAGAGTTGAGAGAAGGTTGTAACTAATATAAAAAGTAGCGTCCTCGACTAAAGTGGCCCACTTAACCTCGGGAACATAAATTGAGTAAAAAAAATTTAATAAAAAATAAAATTTTTATGTTTGTTCAAAAACATTAGTTGTCAAGATTCTATAACTAAAACTTTCATTTTTACTGAATTTTTAGATTTTTTTTTTTTTTGACACTAATTATTTTTTGTTAGCGTATGTTTTTTTAATAAATCAAAATTTACTTGGCTTCATTTGTTCTATGACAAGTTTTAAATTATGGTTAATTACAAGCTAAAAGATAATAACTTTAGTTTATAAAAAATGATTATGCAGCAACCGCTGCGCATTGGCTAGAGCGCTTGTTTTAGAAGCAATAAATATAGGGTTCAAAGCAAGTTCTAGGCATATTTTTCAACCATTGGTAAGAAAAAAGGTTTGAACTTTCTATTTTAATACTTTTCTGATGTACTCCGTGGCAAAACTGTTAGATCTTCTCGGAAGATTTAAAGCCAAAAAAAAATTTTTTATATAACTTATAGAAGTTCTTAAAAAATTTCTTTTTTAATTAAATGGATTTTTAAATCCAAATTCGACTTTTAGTTAAATTCGGTTCAAAAGTCCAAATTCGTCTTTCAGTTAAATTTGGGCTACATATACGGCTTAAATTCGTTATTCAGTTAAATTCTGTATACGCATATAATATAAATTCGTCTTTCATATAAATTCGAGTCTTAAAAAGTCAACTTCACCGGTCCCTACATTTCGCTTCTAATATTATACACGAGATTTTTTTTAACAAAAAATAAAACTCCTCCACCTCTTTTATTAATACTTCGTTCTAAAATTATTGGAAGATGGAGGTTTGAGTTATTTCCAAAATCTGCTTACAAATACCAGGTCTCAGTTAAACAAATTAAGTTGAAAGAATTTTCCGTTTCACAAATAAAATTTAAAAAACTTTTTAAACTCTTTTTTAAACTTCGTATATTTACGTGGACTACATTAAAATAATCACTTTTATTGTCGTTTTTTAAAAAACTGCTAACTTTTTTAGGATAAAAGTAAGAGCTTTCAAATTCTGGGGAATTAGTTTCATCAAAATAATTTGTATCCGGATTGGATTCATCGTCTAAGTTTAAAGTATTGGTTTGGAATAAACTAAATATTTTTTCAAAGTAATTATTAACGGTGCCCATTTTAAATTTAGTTAATTCTGGAAATAAATAATGTACGACAATATACGAATTTATTCGAAAGACTTCGTGATTAACTTTTTGTATACCACTTAAGCAAATTTACCTGATAGTCGCAGTTCTTTTACTTGTGTACACAGCTGTTTTCGAATGTTTATCGTTTTTTCACTGTAGTCTTCGTTAATAAATCATTTTTTGTTCCACAACTTTATCTTTTTATATTTTGACAAAATGCTTTCGCGATATTTGAAGTTGAGATATTTTGCAACGATTATATTTTTTCTTTTCGTATCCCTATCAATAGCTAGTTTTTCTTTAAGTAATAACTTAATTATTTCCTCACAATTTTCCAAAGTTTCTCCCTCCGTTTCGTCTATACCCTCGAGCCTAAGATTATTTTTACGACTTCTGTCTTCCAACTCAGTCATCTTGTCATTTATCAATTCACTCACTTGTTTTGTTAAGTTTACTTTAGTTTGCTCTTGAATTTTGTTTTAATTGCAGCTAAAGTTTCTTTGATTTCTTCGTAATTTTCACTCACCAAACCCATAGTTTTTTTTTGCTTTATTTAGTTCTAGTTTAAGTTGTTTATTCTCTTCTTTGAAAAATATTTGATCGGTTTCAATTTTTTGAAATCTTTCATTGAAAATTTTTATCAAGGTATTTTCGTGCATCTCTAATAATTCTATGTACTGCGATAAAGTAATATTCTTGGCCATTTTTCAGTTTAGTAAAATTAAATTTTGTAGATTTTTGAAAGTTTAATAAAAAGTTATCCTCGTGATAAAAGCGCATCTGCTTTCGGTGAATGCTGAACGCAAAAAAAAAAAAAAAAAAAAAAATTTGATTCACATATTAACAGTGCCACCGAGAAGGGTGGTCGCGACGGTCAGTTTGTCCCAGGCAGTAGATATCCATGGAGCGCCAAATGAAATGTAGATACCTAAAAAATAAAAATAAAATTCTTTCATATATAATATAGGGAAAATTTGATGAAAAAGGGGGCCAATCAGGATTGCTGTCCCAGGCAGCGTGGCCCTGCATACTAATATACCTAACATTTAAGTGAACTAATAAATTTTTATTGATTAAAGATTTTCAAAAACATTTTTATTTACAAAATTGATAAAAAAAAAAAATGCATTTGTGAATGAGATATGATCGCGTGGTATCGGACACATGTTTGAAAGGTGGTTACGGACAACTTAATTTGTTTAAATATTACAAATAAGCAACTTTTTTGTATAAATAATAATAAATTTAATATAATACACAAACCTATATTAGTTATTCATATAATTTCAATAAAAAAATCTTAGATTTGAAAAAGTGTTTATAAAATGTTTACTTTCATTAGAAAAAAACTAATGTTTATATTTCTAAATGATGACATTTTCATTCCCATTCCATATATATCAGAGGCAATTTTTAAAGGTTTTTTTATAAATGTGTTGAAAATAGTCCAATGCTAAATAATTATATATTATATTTGTGTCACACTGGTAAAAAAGAAGTAAAACGACGGTTAACCTATATGTCCGGGGATTTTATAGGCCCTGGGGATTTTAAAAAGACCATACGTGTTTGTCGAACCTTCCTCAAATGTGAGAACAATGGGATAATAAAAATCTATCTTATAAAAAACCTAAATTGATTGTCAAGATTTTAACTTTTTTGAACAACATTTTAGTGCTAGAAAATTATGATCAAATAAGTTTTCCGCTCTCCTAAAATGAATTTCCAAACTTTAAATGTTTATAACCATTGAACAAAAAAATTATCACCCAAATCTTCACTCTGCTTAGTAATTTTACCAACAATAATAACGAAAACAAAAAAACTCAATCACTGAGAATCAAATTGGTACCATCTATTTTATTATCTGTTTGGTCACTACTCAAAGTTTCATCACCTGCCTCCTTAGATAGACTTACACAAGGTACCTTTTGGCAAGGTTTTTTTCTGCAACTGTTTTGTAATTCTGCCTTTTGAAATTCTGCCTTATTTATAATATATAAGTCTTATTTTTCTTTCTTAACTCATATCTTTCATATGGCAAGGTTTGCCCTTTTCTTCTTCAACCTCAGTCTTTTCTTGGTGGTGCCTGTGGAAAGAGGGTATTTTATTCTGGAGACAATATTGAGGTTGAAGATCCTGGCATTATGAACTCTTTGATGTTGGAAGTTGAAAGTTCAACATTATGGTATAAACTTTGAGCTTTTAAATCAAGTGTTTGCCACTTTCTTACTCCGGATTCTAATCTTTATCATTTTATATTTCAAATCCATCTTTGCATGGAATACGGTTACCACATTTAGAACGGATTTTAGAATGACGCTCTTTTTCTTTTAGACAAAGTGAAAAAATGCATTGTAAACTTAGTTGGACCTGCTCTCACAGCTAACCTTCAAACATTGTCACATTGTCGTAATTTTGCTTCTCTTTCTCTTTTCTATAAAAACTATAATAGGCGCTACTCTAAAGAGCTAGCGTCTCCTATGCTATCTACTAAAATCCTTTACCCTGTTACTCGTCATTAAATTAGGTCTCAACCTTTTACTTTTAATGTTCCTAAGTGCTCTTAAAATTCTAATTCGTCTAGTTTTTTTTTCAAACATTAGTTCTTTGGAACTCGCTCCCTTCATCTTTTTTTTTTTGATTCCTATAATTTGAAACCTTTCAAGTTGTCTGTTAATCGTTATCTTGTTTTATAAACTTCATCTTTTCTATTTCAGTAATTTCAAATACTAATAGTGGTTACTTGTAGCCTTGTTGGAAGTGAAAATGTTTAAATAATAATAATATTTTTAGGCGTAAATGCTTAAGAAAACGCAATACCAACCGAGTTTGAACATGGCCTACTATATTACATATACATGTAATATAGTAGGTTATGGTTTGAATTTTCATTAATTTTTATGGGTTTATCTGGATTGTTCACCATAAAAGAAATTTCAGCATGATTTTAAAAGAATTTAAATGGTCCTTAGACAATTCTGTCTTAAGGTTGTAGCTCGTGGCATCAGTGAAGTCAACAAGACAACCCGTTTTTATTTTGCTAGATCAATTTTCTAAATAGAAAGGTGTGTGTCATAATAAAATCAATAGGACCGGTTGCTCATTTAAGCTTTTTATTAATAAAATCAAGTGATTTAAAAATAAATAAAAACTGTCACGTGTCAGCTGTCATCTTACACGTGAGCTGTTCCGACTGTTCCAGGTGGAGCACCGTGTACCATTAAGTCATTAAAATGCATCTTTGTAAACATCATATATGGAGGAATTCTATTTCCTGTTGCACTTTCTGCGGCAAGCATTGTGATCAGAATACTCCTCTCTGCTGAAGTAATTTAGGAAGCAATTACCTTTATATTCCTCACTTTTTTTACAGTACAACAACCTCATCAAGTCTCATCAGCATAATAAGTGTCATTACGATTAAAATTATATTTTCTAAAAGGTTTCTTCAAGAATTTAAAAAAATTCTGCAGCATTTATTTTATTAAAACATGTCACACGTGACAAACTAATTGCTTCTGGTCTACGTAAAAAAAAGACTTTTAAACCTATTCGTAAAACCATACAATCAATGTTCACTAGCAGTCAGGTTTTTTGTCCATGATTGTGGAATAATTTTCTATTGTAGTCAGCAAATTTTTTTAACTGAATGCGAGTCCATCATGTATCCTGGAGGCCTTCTCTACATATTCTTTTAGCAATATTTCTTTTACATTAGTGAAAATCTGTCGGTATTTGTAGTTTAGTGTGTACTTTACTTTATCAAGACCATAATGTTTAGCTTTTTACACACACCGTTGTAAACTTAAAAATGCAATTATGATTATGCAATCATTTCTTCTGTATACAAACTATGTTTGTATACAGAAGAAATGATTTGTTCTTTTTGCCATATGCACTGCATTCTTTACGTTTACAGAAGTTGTGTCACTAATTTTTTCTCAATCTGTTTTCTATTTTGTACCCAAGACCGACGACACATGTTTTAAAGTGGGAGGGGGGGCACATTTATCAACTTGTGAAAAAGGTTCTCTATATCAAAATGTTTCTTTAAAAAAAAGTCTTCTAGAAAAAAGGTGGGGGGGCGGGCCTCCCGGTGTTGTCGGCCCTGGTATTATATTGACAAAAGAAAATAAAGCATGAAAAATTACTATTGGCAGTAACTAAATTATGTAAAAAATTAAAAATATAGTTTAATAAAAAGTTTTTTTCAGAACAATAATACACATAAAATATTATAAAGTCATGATGAAGTAATTCTTTAAAATTTCTGTTACTTCATAAAATTAAAAAAACTCTAAATATAATTTTACTTATTATATTAATGTATTCAAAATGTTTTTGAAGAAAATGTTAAAAAAAGATAATAACACAATATCTCATAATGTGAAACTAATGACTTCATTTTCATATAATTTGTTTGTTAACAATGCATGAATTTAATTTTTAATGGGGCACAGTTAATCAACCAGTTTGCTGTATTCAATTCACTGTGCTACACCATAAAAAATTAAGTTTAAGCCTAATTTCCTTGGACGTGAGTGTTTTTAAAAAGAAACTAAACTACTAAAAGGAAGCATAAATATCAATAATCCGAATGAAAAGCTTCAGCTTTTAAAATTCTCAACCTCAATCTCCATAGCAAGCATAAGAAAGTTAAGAAAACTTACTTTAGCTAGCTAATAACAAAAATTACCTACCAAAAACCGGTCGTCAAAAGTTATTCGCTAACATAAAATTGCATTATCATGATGAACAAAATGAAATGCCTCTTAATCACTGTACCCTTGATCTACTGTACCCTACCTCCCCCTACTTTATGAACCCTTTTGTTGAACAAAGTTCAATCAGTTATGTATAGCTTATCGTGCACCTAATCTCTTGAATAAAATCTTTTTACCTAGTTTTGAATTCATATAAAAACGCTTTTTTGTTTTTGTGTTTCTTCATTTTTATTAATTTTTATATTTATAAATATAAATATATTAATAATATATTAATGGCTTAAGTTATACTTTATTAAAACGTTATATGGCTCTGGCGACAAGATTATTAGATCTTCTATTAGATGCCAAGTTAATATTTCTATCAGATACCAAGTTAATATTTCTATCAGATACCAAGTTAATATTTTTATCAGATACCGAGTTATCATTTCTATCAGATACCAAGTTAATATTTAAACTAATCTAATTCATTGTTATTTTTATTTTTATTCTTATTGATATGGTGATTATATTCTTTATTATAAATTTTTAAAAGTATAACAATTTTAATATTTGTAAAAAAAAAAACTTCATATTATATATATTTTAATAAATATACAAAAAGTATGTATGTATGTGTTTATACTTATGTATGTATGTAAGCAGGGCCGACGATATGAGTTTTAAATTTGAAGGGCACTACTCAATTTCTAAAAAAGTTCTCTATACCTAGAAATGTCTTAAAAAAAAAGAAAAAAAAGGTCCTGGAAAAAATATCCTTGGAAAAAGAGATCCTTGGAAAAAGGTTTAGGGGAGGGACAACGACCTGGCCCCCCGTTGTCTTTGGGTCTAGCAAGTATGTGCATTTATTTATATATGTGTATACATATAAAGAAAAAATAAATATAAAAATTATAAGACCTAAACACATTGGACAACTTAAACACATTGGACAAAGCTGCAATTTTTCAGATTGACGTCGTCTTTGGTAGTCAAGGATGAAAGTTGAGATTATTTAAAATCCTGGCGCCGCCAACTCAGCGCATGAGTAGTACTTTGGTAGCAAAAATGTTGGTCAATAACAGACGCTACTTTGGATTAGTCTTATTGACTATTTGTGGCTGTTCTTATGCTGAGCCAACAATATATTTGGATATAAAAACATTAGATTGAAAAATATAGCATGAAAATTCAAATAAATAAATTAAAAAAAAAAAATTGTTTTCAAATAAAAATAAAAAAAAAAAAAAAAAAAGAAGAAAAAGAGTTTTTTTTTCTTTATGCTTATTTTAGGTGCCCCAAGAAGTCTTTAAGAAGTCCTTACGGTCTTATTACAGAAAACTGCAGAAAAGCATTTGAAATGAAGTTCACACATCCTTTCTTACCGATATTATAAACTTGGCTACACATGGTTTTACTGAACTTACTAATGATCTAATATGGGTCTAAATACTTATCTTCCACAAGCAGATAAACTGATTTTCAGAAGTTGTTAGCTTTTTTTTTTGTTTTTTGTTTTTTTGTTGAAGAGATATGAGTTTATTTCAAATCGAAATTAGGACGTTTTTTGAGAAGACACAGCTTTTGTAATGCTTGATTAAAAGTTGAAGTTTTTGCTGAAAAAGATTGTTTAGTTATAAACTCTAAAAAAAAAAAAGCACAGCTTTTTCAAATAAATTATAGTTGCTTTTTGTTCTCAAAAACAAAGTACTTATTGTCCAAAACCATCCTGAAGAGGGGTAGTTTTGGATGACATTAGGGCTGTTTAGAAAATGTAATAAAACGACAATAAATGTTTCTTAAAGTTAAATTTTTTTATTGACCAGTAATTATAAACAGTAGCAGAAATAAGAGAGTTACTAACCTTAACAGAATTATTTTATAAAGATATCAAACCATTAAATAGTTTTCTTGTATATTGTATATTCAAACAAACTTAAATGAAAGTTTTTTTCAATCACCTATCAATCACACAAACGCAAAAATAATAACTTTAAAAAATTACAAAGTAAAGAACGGAAATGTAAAATGGATTGAGATAAACATGAATAAACGTTTTTTTGTAAGCCAATAAAAAATAAAGTTCATAACATTCAACCAAGTTTGTATATTATGGGCTTGTACTTTTGTGCTTTTCGTGTCTTGACATAAATCCTAATAAGTTAAACCTACGTTTATTTTTTGATGATTTCAGCATTTTCTAACATTGCTTTCTCTGCATTGATAAATACTTTATTTACAGAATACTTGGTAGAAAAGTTATCACTTTTTAATTTTTTATTATTTTTAAACATTTTTATTTAAACCTATATACTTTTAGAGAACCGTAATACACCTACTGCTTCTCTTAGTTTAGTTGTTTCAGCCCTAAGTACGACCAAATGTTAAAAATCACCAAAAGAGACCAAAATGTTAAAACTAATAAATTTAAAAACCAATATGAAAAAAACTACAATTGTTTCAAAGATGGTTAAAAAAATATTAATAATAATAAATAATATTACAATGCCAGAATAAAATAAAAACAAAAATTTAAAACAACAATATTTAAATTTAATTTTTACTATACCAATTCTTGTAATGCTTTTTATATTTATATTTACATTTATTTAGAGGTAGTATATTTATTGTGCTACAATAAAGTTCATGAGGAATATTTTTTATAGTGAATAAATTCATAAATTCTGCGTTTAGAAAAGTAATTGAATTAATAAGTTTGATAAGTTTTTATATCTCAAAACCCCAATAACTTGAACCTCAAGTAACTCAAAGTATATTTGAGTTTCCCCTTAACTCTTACTAATACTTTCTCATAAAAATCACTCGATAACACGAATCTTCCTTAACACAAATACTCACTTCCATTTTATCTGTCCTCGTAACTAATATTCCTTCAATAATTCGAACTTTAAATGAAAAATCGAATCAAAATCTTAGTAAAATCTAATTTTTCATTAATTTTTTTTTCATTAAATTTTTTACTCTCAAGCTAATTGCGCAGTCAAGTTTCCTTTCAACATTACGGTTTTTGGTGTTAAGCATCAAGGTTTTTGCCTGGCAGGAAACGTGACAGTTTTCTTAGAAACTCCATCTTTCTAAATTTTTTTTAATAATTAAATTCTGGCTTGTTATAAATGTTTATGTATGAGTTTAAATATAAAAAAATTTAAATCATCTTAATATGCACTTCTCAATGCTTGATCGATTGTGTTTATTTATTTTTTAACATATATATCTTTTGTAACACATGATCTATGATCACCGTTGTGAAATATCATTTTGAATTATCCAAACTTTTCGGATGTATTTCTAAGAAATAAAACAAGCTTTTTCATCTCGCTCTATTTAAATTAATTTTCAATCGTTAAATTTAATTTAATTTTAATAATCTCCTGAAATATTAAAAATAAAGTAGTTGAATATGCTAGACAACTCAAAAAATTATTTATTCATAACAACCTGATCAACAATCAATTAGTAATCCTCCTAAAATCCAATTAATATGTTTCCAATCTTATAAAAAAGTTTAATTAATACAAAGAAATTTAAGGGAAAACGCGTAACTAAGTTATTTTGCAGCTGAAGCATTATTATTAGCTTCACTTTACGTGATTTATTCCATTATCACTGAAGAAAAAATAAAAATGGTAACTGAAGTCCAATTAAGCTTGGATTCATCAGATAAATATCTGCAAAGTATTGGTCTCCCAATTAACCAGCCGGAAAAGATATCAAAAATTTTAAAATCAAATGAGTGTGTCCGTTTGGAATTTATTGATCTCACCGTTAGTGTTAATGGTAAAGAAATATTAAGTCATGTAAGCGGAGAAATAAATCCAGGAGAAGTTTTAGCAATTATGGGGCCGTCGGGTAAATCTAGAAATTGTAATTAATAATCTAAAAATCTTAATAATAACTAATAACATTATTTTTAATAAAATAGTAACAAAAAATACGTTGAGTCAGTAAGTGTTTAAATCTAAGAAGTACCAATTGGTATCTTGGAACATTTACAGTTTTATAATAAAAAGTATAACTAGGATACTTGAATTATATTGTATTTTTTTATTAACATTACATTTTTATTTTTTATTTATGTAGGAGCTGGAAAATCCACACTTCTTAACTTACTTGTTGGAAGAGAAAGAAAAGACCTTATCATTAACGCTGGTACAATTAAATTAAATGGGGAAAAGGCATCCAAGTTACTTCGCAGGAAAATTGGTTATGTTTTACAAGAAGACATATTTTTTTCAAATCTTACAGTGCGACAGTCTTTAGAAGTATGTTTTCGTTAAATTTTTTAGTATTATTAGTTTTCACTTCACGCGTTTACATCTATCTAATACGTGGTCATAATGGAAAGGGAGAAGTAAAACGCATTAACAAAAGCGTTTGCTTTAAATTACTTTATTCAGCAATAAAACTTACCATATCAATTTTTTATAAAATACTAACAAATTTTATATCATTATTTTGATATGGTTATAACACTACATCAAAATAATGATTTACAACAACATTAAATTTATTAAAAAATGAAAATGATTCACCCTCCGATTTTTATTGTTGTAAAAATGATGCTGACTAAGTTTTTTTTCTGGTAACTAATTTTGTTATACCTGCTTTTTTTATTGACTTGTTAGTCATTAATCTCAAATCTTGTTCTTATGCTGAATCTCCATCAAAGATGATTTTACGGGCGGTGTTACACCTTCCCGAAAAAGGTAATTTTCAAATTATAGTCGGTTTTTTTTTACGAATTTAGTCGCTTCTGATCTCCATAATTTAAAGTTTGCTGAGGTTTTTTTATTCAATCGTGTTGATGTGATCAATGTCACACTAATTAATGTGGTCCGCCTAAAATAACGTTTTCCTATAAATATGGATTAAATTTGTTTTAAACCTCATGCAATAAAATTTAATTTAATATATATATATATATTAAATTAAATATTTCTAAGAAATTTTATTTCTACAATTTTTTATAATAAAATCCTACTTTTTTAATATTTTTATACAAATTTAGATTCAAAAAGTGTTTATATTTAAAAACCATTTTAATTCGCACTTTTTAATTGCGTTTAGTTATTTTTAAACATATATCTTTTGTCACATGCGATCTATGACCGCCGTAGAATATCATTTTGAATAATAGATACAATTTATAATTAAATTAAAAACAAAATTCAAATAAATTAATTTATGACGTTTTCATTTTAATCCAATTTCAGTTTTAAGCGATTTAAACAAACGCTTAAAACTGAAGTTTTAAGCGTTTGTTTATAATAAAATCCTACTTTGTTAATATTTTTATACAAATTTAGATTCAAAAAGTGTTTATATTTAAAAACCATTTTAAATCGCACTTTTTAATTGCGTTTAGTTATTTTTAAACATATATCTTTTGTCACATACGATCTATGACCGCCGTAGAAAATCATTTTATAACAAACGCTTAAAACTGAAGTTTTAAGCGTTTGTTTAAATCGCTTAAAACTTTAAAAAAAAAGTTAAAATGACTTCAGATGTTTTAAAGGTTCTTTTCTTGATCATAAATCGCATGTTACAAAAAATAAATGTTAAAAAACAAGTAAATGAAATAAAAATCAAACAATAAAAAAATGGTTGTTAAAATGATTTTTTATATTTGAATTCTTATAATAATACATCTCTAGTCAAGATACTTATCGATATCTTGACTACTTGATATCTTGACCTTTTGTGTATCTCGAACTTTTGCGCACTCGTTTGAGCCAAAAATCTTCTCAATATCTCGAACTTTATTCCCGGTCCCCTGAGGTTTTGAGAAATTAAGAGCCAACTGTAAATGATTAATCGGTGCTTATAATTTTCATAAATGCTTTCATACAGGGCCGCTCCAAACTGGCTCGGGGCCCCAGGGCAAAATTAAGTTGTGAATCTAAATATCATTATTCTACACAATCACATTGTAAATATGATTGTAATGACTTTTTAAGGCTTAGCAAGTATTTAAGGCGGTCCCTAAATCACAGGCGTCTGGGTATAGATTATCCCGTAGTCGTGGCGGCTCTTCTCTCATATTGTTTTGCTCCATTAATATTTGATTGATATGATATTAAAAAAACATGAAGTGAATATAAATTACTTTTCTATTTTTATTACATTTTATTTCAAAAAAATAAATTATTCCCATACTTTGACTAAATCGACTTTGATTCGACTCGATTTCAAAAATCAGTCAGTATCAGTCGATTTTAATTGGCTTTAGAAAATATAGTTGATTTAGTCCACTTTAGTTGAAGCAAAACAAGTTGCAAACAACAATATATATATATATATATATATATATATATATATATATATATATATATATATATATATATATATATATATATATATATATATATATATATATATATATATATATATACATACATACATACATATATATATATATACATACATACATATATATATACATATATATATATATATATATATATATATATATATATATATATATATATATATATATACATACATTATATTTATATTATATATATATATATATACATACATATATATATACATATAAAGACATTATCAATATATATTGATATATATATTGATAATATTGTGTATTAATTATAGCGCCAAGTGAAGCTGTATAAAACTCAATAGAAAAATATTTTGTTTTGTCATTATTTTATAATGAGAAAACAACCTCGCAATATTTTTCGAGGTTTTTTTATATTTACACAACCTCTTTTGTGTAAGTGTAAAGAAAGTGTTTAAACGCGTTTTAAAATAATTGTATTTCAAATAAATGTAAATATATTTAATTAAGTATATTATTACTTTTATATTTAATAAATATACTTATATTAAATTTAAATATATATTTAAAGCAAATATATAAACGCTTTTTAAATTAATACATTTAGATAAATAAAGTTAGATGGGGGTAAATAGACGTATATTCATTCGCGCGTGCATGCAGGTTTGACGTCAAGGTACACTAACGCTAATCGTAGAATAATACTATGGGATCGTCCATATATTACGCAACTCCAAATTTAACTCCTCGGTGTAGTTAAGGCGATTTACAAAATATTCGAATACTTTTATTTGGAATTAGCATGGTTTTGTCAGCATATTATGTTCAAACAAAATCTTTGAATGTTATAATTTTTTTTGCTCAAGGTTTTTATAATATTTAAAGAAAATTTTCTTTTTTTTATTTAATTTTTTAAACCTTTTTACTACCCGTAATAGTGAATCTAAAGAACACATTTTGGAGTCTTTAGATCACTTTCACTCATTGGCATTAGCACGAGTTTAGTTAAAGTCTTTTGAAAATGTTCTTTAATTTACTACTGATCCAAGTTCTAATCGGTTCTGACGTATATTAACTATATGTAGTTGTCAAAACACAATATTTCTTTCAATTTTCACAAAAAGTGCTAGAATTCCGATCAAGATAGAGCTTATAATTATGGAAAATTGCTAATACACGATCAGAACAGATCATATTGTGAAACTAAAATGTCTATTTCACATGAAAAAATGTATTACTATAAAATTTTATTCAAATTTGGACGAGCGATTGTGATTTTAAGATGATTTTTTTTAAAAAAAAGAATCTTTGGTCAGGGTTTTTTCGCTACTAACATTTATATTTTATGATTCCACAAAATGTCCTAGTCAACAAAATATCATTCAGACGCTATAATATTTTAAAAGTGCCTTAACTACACCGAGTAATAGACAAAATAAAAAAACCAATAGTTTTTCCTCGCAGAGTCTTTAACTAAACAAAAAATAAAAATTAAGTGCGGTAAAAGTCGCCGTTCGAAAAAGTAAATTATTATCATTTATTTAAATATGTTTAGCTTTGCGTAATTTACGGATGATCCCGTATTCATTATTTATCATTTAATAGATTTTGAAAAATATCATTTATTAAGGTTCATTACTTATAATTTAAAGTAAATACCTTATGACAATGTTGTCAAACCGTGCGAAAAACAGTTTCGTGCGCATAATATTAAACTACAGTCTTAACAATATTTAATTTCTTAATTATTTATCATAATTAAAAATATAAATATATACATAAAAAATTAAATAATTTGAGCTAATTTTCTTTTTAAAGCAATAATGTATTTTTTTTGAGTTATTCACGACAGATTTTTCAAAACTAGGAAACTGCGGCCTATTTAAATACATACCCAGCCTTGTTGCTTACAACTCCAATAATTAGATATTAAAGTTCTTTTTTAAACTTTCATTATTATTTAGAAACAAATGTTGCACAGTTAAACCTTCATTATTATTTAGAAACAAATGTTGCATTTGACAGTTTTGCTTCATACGATTGATTGCAAATGTTTTATATTTTCATTTTATTTGTTAGTCATTTAAATGCCTAAAAAGTCATGTGTAGTTGCTTGCAGAAGCGGTTACAAAAAGAAAAAAGAAAAACAATATTGAAGTTGATTTTATAACAAAAACAGTATTCAATTTTCCCTCAGACACCGATTTATGTTCCCGGTTGATCGGGTTTTTAAACAGAATTAATTGAAAACCAAAGCTAAATTCTCTGCATTATATATTTATCGTTTAGAGGAAAAACTCAAAAAAATGTTCAAGTGAAAGAGGCCATCGAATGCTGCACATTGATACCAAGTTTATGTATTTAGCCCAATTATGATCAAACTCAGTGGGCAAAAACGTTTTGTGAACGTTTTTCAATGGACCCACAAAAACGTTTTTTATTGGTTTTTTGAACGTCCATATGAAGCGGTGAACGGACATTTTTCTGAAATCGTTGTTTAATGGTTTTTATTACGTCTGAATAAAACGTTTTTTTTTATAAATATATATATGTATATATATATATATATATATATATATATATATATATATATATATATATATATATATATATATATATATATACATATATATATATATATATATATATATATATATATATATATATATATATATATATATATATATATATATATATATATATATATATATATATATATATATATATATAATATATATATATATATATATGCATATATATATATATATATATATATATATATATATATATATATATATATATATATATATGTACGTATATATATATAATTATATATACATATAAATATATATAGTCTTGCATGGTAGTCACAAAGCTTTCCTCATAAACTGTTGTTTTAAAGAGCGCGTTAGTAAGCATGACCAGAAAATGTTAAAAAACTTCACAAAATTTTTTTTTTTT